ACTGTAATCAATTCGGATGATTTCAATACTCACTGTTGCAAACATCTCTCCAAATGAAGACTATAGACGTTTCAAAAATCTTTCCGATCGTACAATAAATACTAATGGAAGTTTAATTGCAAAATTTTCCCACTATGTCCTTTGAATGTGTAGAAAATATATTTTCCGATTCGTGGAGACATCTGCTCCTTTTGATATATCTGTCATCCATCTACATAAATTTTAAACACGTGCTCATATGGTGAAACACACTTTATCGATTGTATTTACTCAAAATCTGGAACAGGTACCTTCACATACACTTGACTCTAGCATAATTGCAATTACCCACAATTCTTATTCAAATATTCATCTGTATGAATAATTAAAGATGTTGAAGATAACCTTAAAATGACAATAACAAAAATATTGCATTACAAAACAACTCGCGCACAATTCAAACACTGTCGTAGTCTACAAATAAAGGAAATAATGTAATTGATAAGACTTCATTCAATATTCAATCGAGATTCTTAATTCAAAAATGGCACATTTCCCACCGTTACGTGCCCACATGTTGGAAAACTTTCCGTAGAAGTGGCCGCTTCGAAGTAATCAGAAAAACACGTCTGTTTAGATTATGTTCACAAACAGCGCACATATTCAGATTCCATGTCTAAGAAAGCTAAGATTAAAGTATGGTACACGGTACACCTTCAGAGAAACGTGGTGGTGGCGGCGGCGGCGGTGGGGGTCTCCTTGAGCCCTAATTACTGTACGTGCTCTGATGGAAATGAATAAAACTTACGGATAGGCGATTTTCATGGTTCGCCCTTCATATGCTTTGTCCCCGCCGCATTGTAATGCCAAATTACTTTCAAAGGCAAGTTTTCTCTCTGCGCTTGTCCGGAACCACGTCACGGCGAGGCTTGGGCTTCGGCCCTCGCGTTCACTATAAACATCCTTGAGTCTACCCAACGCATAATTACCAATTCACTTTTATACGACATCACTTTTCAAGAACGCCTCCAGAATTCTAACTGCCTAGTTAACGCCGGAGCGGCGCAATGTGCCGGTTTAAATGACTTTCGTAGGTCGTACCGTATACTAGACTTCAACCAAAGCAAAAATCATATTCTGAATCATATAGCGATCTTAACTCATTTTCTGGCCTATTTTAAAATAACCAATTCAATCATACAGGACGGTAATCAGCAATATTGTGCATCGGCGAATAAAATCTACTTCAATTTCCTCAACCAATTTCTTTACACGCGACCACCTGTTTTCAAAAACATATCTCAAGTGTATTACGTTCAAAGCATTTTTAGTACTTACCCTTAAGAAATGTACATCTGATACCATTGCAGCGGATTCTCGTTACAACTTGCTGAACCAAAACACTGTCCATTACAAGACAGAACACGGCAATGTAACACCACATTAGCACATAAGTATGCAAAAATACCCTACCCCGAGGGGCCGTTCTTCGCAACTGACATCTAGTAGACGTCGTTAATCAAATTAAAGACTAAAAACAAAAAAGAATAAAAAACTAAATAAATCGGTTTCAATCATAACTCAAAACATGTTGATTGTTTTTTTATGAACTGTTTAAAAATTGTTTACCTTCGTTTTATTATATTTCATTAGAAACTTTTCATTCGATACTGTAGTTAATAAGTAACAAATATTGTAAACGACTTTAACAGTAATGACCGTTATCCTGACGAAGTTTTCAGATGTATGTTACTGTTGACCTATTCGCTGAGGTAATATGGGTGTGGTACCTTTTTTACGTCTAGGCAATAAATTAAACATTTATTTTCAACAGCGTCAGAAGCATAGTTTGACAAATGAATAAAATATTTAAAACTTCATGACTAATATCCTTTTATTAGTCAGCATTATCCAATCCACTAGATGATGTTATCTGCTTCCCCGCCGGTGATTGCCGGTTATAGGAATATTATATAATGGTCTGCAGCGAGTAAAGCGATCTCAACGGACGATACTTCAAGCTTGGAGTAGGTTAAGCGGGGAAACTGTAAATTGATACAGCGCGAGCAAACGCAAGTAAAAATCTGCAGTCAAATTTTAACATTTTTAAACTTTTAATTTTGAAACACTAATTTATTATTTTTATATATGCAAATTGGTCAATGGTCAACTGATCACAAGCTACTTCAAGGTAGAAACGTTTCGCCTACAGATGGCGGTCAAAGCAGTACGTAATAGTTCTAAAAGACATGGAAGAGAGGTAAGGAATCCACAACCCATTCCGTACGTAAATGTACAGCTTGTCCTCCCCTCTTAAAATGTTACTTACTCTAAATGTATGTAAATTCAGTGGTTAGGCGGAAGAGCAGGCCCTATGGCCTGAGCCTCGCCATTAATAAAGACATTATTATTATTATTATTATTATTATTATTATTATTGTTATTATTATTATTATTATTCCGGGCGGAAATGAATGCGAGGGAAACGGAAAAGAATGGAAAGGAAATATCGCATGTAATCCGTGGCCCCTTGTAAAGGAAACTGCTCCGGCCTTCGCTTGGAAGCCGTCAGGAAAGCAACCCAAGATGTTTATGATGATAATTAATATTATTAATAATTTTATAAAATAATAATAATATTATCGGTGTCCCCGATGTCATTCAAATAGATTCTCCATGAACACACCCACTGATGCAGGTTATGGCACTACTGCGGAAGGTCCTCAATGACACACTTATGAAAGGCAATAAGGAGCCGTCCATAAATTACGTAATGTAAAATTGGAGTATTTTCAATTTATCTCCCCCCCCCCTGCAATTACCCGTAGCGAACCCGTACTTCACTTGAAGTCCCCTCTAATTATATCACAGTAAAAGCAATTTATATAAATTGTGTTAAACATTAAAATGTATGATAATTAAAGTCAGAATTAATTGACGATGCTGACTGCATCTAACAATAAGATTGGGAACAATTTTGGAGTGAAGAATGGACGCGTAATTGTGAAAATTTCTAACAACATGCTGTGCACACACTGTCATGGATGAATTTTCTGCGCCAATTTAATTGGATTGTAGGATACACTGTAGAACCATTTTAGTTTTCTTCGTAACCTAACAGATTCCATCAATATATTATTAATAAAAAATCACAAAAACCACTACAAATGTCTATACAATAACTTTTTAATTTATTTATAATTTAAAAAGTAAATAGTTAATATTTCAGTGTTTTAGTGAAAGAATGAAAAAAAGGAATTACTTCAGCACATATTGAAAAATATTAAAAAATAAATATTAGCTTTACGCAATTAGCTTTACGTAACGCGGAACTAACACCACCTACCCCTATATAACGCAACGTACCGCTGTCTCGAACACTACCCCCTCTTCAGCGTTACATAATTTATGGATGACTGAGCGAAGTTGTGCAGGGCATAGCGCACTGACTGCGCATTGGGAAGGCCCGGATTCATTCCCCGTGCCGACCTTCCTGACCTGGGTTTTCGTGGTTGGCCTCTGTTATCAAGGCATATGTTGGGATGGTTCTACTGAGAGGCCAGCACCTCAAAAGCGGCGTCGCTAGCCGAATCAGTAAACTACGTGAAGTCACGAAGGTTAAGTGAGTTCGAGACATGCGGATTCTTGGTAGGGGGACCGACTAGGAATTTTTAGAATTAGATTTATTTAGTCAAAAAACAGTAAAAACTGTATATGACGTATGGGGAAGATCATCTGCGCACGTTTTCTCGAGTTCCAGAATCCTTTCCTTTTATTCAAACTATAAATAGTTTAAAGATAAATAAATTAATAAAAATAAAATTTAAGAAACAGCGGATTAGCAACTTTTGAAAACTATACGTTTTCGTTATAGAAAACTTATTTGCAGCGGTAAATGAATTGCAGGTTTTATTTTTCTGCATTGCTAACAAAATAGTAACTCACCCTTACCTCTACTCCTACCACTTCAAAGAAGTGTTCAACAAAACTTGCGCATGGTGGAGCTACATTTACTCCGAACCAGAAACCCCGGAATCTAATGGCACCGAGGCCAATTGCCCTTTACGGGATCTCGAATGGTTAAATACAATTACAAAATAAAGCTTTATGGATCATCCCTGAGATTGTAACAATTAATTAATACCGATTAATTGTTTCGGAACGCGTCAATTTCTATAATCATTATTCCCGTTATGGAAGCGCATGTTATATCTCCGGGGTCTCGTGGTCTTCCTCTGCCGTGAGTCGTAAACTTCAGATTAATCTTTGATCTTTCAGTAGCTTTCCATGGGTTTCCCCTCTGCACGTATCCCAGCAAGTATCCTTTAAACAAGCCAGCGGATCACAGCGCCAGCGAGACAAGTCTCACGCCAAGTGTGCAAGAGGAGAAGAGGGAACAAGGATGAGGAAGGAAAGATCGCATGCGTTTTATAGCCTATTTGCTAAGACACTGCGTCGGTATTCGCCTGGCTCAGATCTGGAAAACCAGGATCAGAGCAGCCGGCCGGTAAAATTCTTTCCTAGACAGCGACTCAATTCGACCTAGCTCTCTAGCTAGTAACGAAGATCACCACCACCGGCACTCAAACCCTAGGACCTCCCAGTCCGACTCGCTGCAGTGGCCACAGTTGTTGCCCAAAAGTTATCTCTGCTGGTCAAAGGGATTCGAATCGGAGGCCCTCCGAAAGAGGTTTTGAAGCCGTACATGGTCTAGTAGGCTCCACAACTCAAGCCACACCTGCATTCACTACATGAGCAATAATATAAATAACTGGGCTACAATAATGAACCCATTGTTGGCTATCTATTATCTCTAACAACTAAAATAATTAAAGATGTTGTCATTGCCAACAATGTTTTTTAATTCAAAAGCAGCTTTCGATGGCTTAGCCAATGTTGGCAATGACAACATATTTAATTATTTTAAAAATGCCAAAGATATCTTACCACAACACCTATATCTAGCAACTAAGCTTGATTACGTTACTTTCGAAATGGAATAAGGAATGGTATCACTAAAATTCATTATATTTTAACGTCATTTATTGGTAATAAAATTATAATACATACACATCCTTATCTACATAATCAATTTACACACATTCATAATTAATTAACGACATGCAGAAACACAAAATATATAATATTGTACATTTCATCCCATCTTCCTTTCAGATGGATGTTCGTTCCTGCCAGTTCTGGAATTGTATCGGCGTTGGTGTCTCCTGTATTGGCTGTTTCTACTCTTGCGGGGCTTGGTGTTGTTGGAAGTCGGTCCTGTGAACAGGAAAAGAAGATATGTTACCTACAGATGCATATTAGTGGTCTACCGCGTTCATGGTCACTGTCGTGAAGCTTAGTGTGAACGGTGACCTCCGGAGCCATCATTTTGCACTATAATATAAATGTTACCTTCCGAATGAGTTAACTAAAATATTTGAATTTTCGACGATCAGTAACTACCGTTGATTTTAATACACTTCACATCGTTGGTCGATTATTGTCAAACTATTGTTGAGTCCATATTCCAAATTTATTTAGTCTGAACAAGCTGTATTGATTGAGTTAAATATCTTAGGAAAACATTTCAAAGAAAATTACTAGTTTATATCGCTAACACATTTGATGTCAGCGATAAACACGTTTTGACAGTTTTAAAGAAAAGATTCTATGTATATAAGCAAAATGTTATTCTACATTTAGAAAAGAAACAAAATATTATTGAATGTTTATGTAAAATATACGCAGAGACAATTCCTTCTCAAAATTAACGTAAATTAGAAAATAAAATTAATTACGACAAATTATGTTAATATGAAACATTGTTGGAGCATTCCCATATCATGATATGTTATCACGATCTGCATTTCATGATAACATTGAATAAAATTTACTGTCCTAATGCGGCTAGAAATCTATGAGTCCTCTTGATTCGCTTAGTTTTTTAAGTTTTTTTTTTTCATTTTGAAACACAATCATTCACCGGCTGAATAGAAGATACGTTTCGGCAGGTATAGTTAATTACGTAGTTATCACTGGCGGATCCAGGGGAGGAGGGCATGGGGGCCGTGGGTGTCCTGAGTAAAATAAGATCTAAAATTTTCGTTTACCTTCCTTCATTAGAAAAAATAATTTACATATTTATTTATTTATTTATTTATGTTCGAACTATTTAATTATTTGAACAATACTATTGTATAGTATCATATCCACAGTACATAAATAATGAGCAATATAATAACAAATATCTTTATTATTTAACAAAAATCTACAATGCGATGATCTATGATCCAAATGATAGGCTGGATCCGGGGGATTGCGCCGTTCAAATGTAGGAACGAGGGAAGTCATAGGGAAGGCGATGCCTAGTTCGTAGGACGGCCCAGCAGGACACAACAGACTAGTAAACAACCATGACTTCACGGGGCTGGGTTCCACGACCCCCTGGGCCGCTAGCAATTGCACTCGTATCTGAGCGGTCTCGACCGACGAGCCGGCTATTTGAACAGGTTCTAGGGTTTTAACTTTAATGTACTTTCCTGTGAGAACAGAATATGCTCTGTTAATTCCACATTCATGTTTTCATAAGTGTATTGAAAGATAACACTAATCAGCCGACCCCGGCACAGCCATCCTGTAGACGTTAGTCAAGAGAGGGCACCACTGTGCAGAGGCCTGCTGGCAAGGGGAGGGGGCAAGGAAAGACCAGGTGTGGCGATGACCGCAGAGTACGTAAACATAACCTCACATTTCAATAGAGGAATCCCCTCGTTGAAAACGTTCCCGGGCAGTAGCGTGTTTTCATAGACTGTTATATTCTTCAGTTGAAGGAGACTCTCTTATTCCCTCAAGGAAGGCAATTATCTCTCGATAATATTTCGACAGCCAACACAATTTCATACTAGCTTTGTGTTACTGCCGCGTAGTACCAATATCTTGAGGGGAGGATCGTTGTCATTCACGAACGACTTCGTTAGAAGCCACAGTGTAATACCTCTCGACGTAAGCGGCAAGGGGCAAAGCCGCCAAATTTCACTCGTTCTGCCATCAGCGCGTAATGCGTCACGTAATCTAAATGTGTGCTCCCGCGTTTGTTTGTTTTCCAGAACCTTCCTAGCTAAACACACATACGGTCAATCACCGCAAAACTTGCTCACGCGTTTCTTTGCCAGTGGAGTGAAACAAGCTCAAACAAACGCACCCTCAGGAATTCCACACTCATTCCCTTGTCATCGACACGACAGGTCTTTCCCCTCTTTATTTCTAACACACACATTTTGTGCCATCGACACTCGGCCTGCCGTATGTCGTTTTCATGCACCGTGAATTTACCGGTCTTATTTGCTGGATGTCCTGTAAAACACAAGGATCAATGCAATTTGTTCAATCGAAATTAATTTTATAATAGAAGTTGCCCCGATCCACTGCGATACGTTACTGCGAATGTAATAATGTGATTACTAACTTCTTTCTCGTGTCTGGCATTTTTCTCTGCATCAGTAGTAAATAAATTATTTGAAATTTAACGTTTTCAAAATTATCCACAAGTTAAAAAAAGCAAACGGTATAAAATAGCATGACGATATTGTGTGTCCTTAACGTTACTCGATCTTTTTTCAAACCTAGCTGAACCTTATAACTTTTTTATAACTTGCCGGATCATGCTATATTGTTTTTTCATCGAATTTTTAATTAATTTGGGATATGTTATTGAATGTAAAATTTACATGTAATTAACATTATAATACAAATACGCTTAAAATGATACGCTCAATTTTGAGAAAAACTTGTGTAAAACAAATGGGGAAAAATTGTAGCATTTTTTTTAATATTCTCAAATTTCTCTTATCTAGTACGTATGACAAGTGTGTAATTGGAAAAGTGAATTGTTTAATAATTTTAGTACGTTACCTTTGTGGTCTGATAGGCTGGACTAAAAATTAATTGAGGTAAACGAAAATATTTTCTTCTTCACTTTCGGAAATATTACGAAAATGTCTGTCCCAAGATAAGTAACCCTACCTCTTTTCTCTAGAAATTTGAAATAAAATAATAATATCACGACAAAGTTATCCGTCCCCTACCCCAACCCGTCAGGAGAAGTAACTATTTTGTCATTAACTTCAGTGATCTAAACGAAGGGGCAAATGTAGGCTTCCCCACATCGATTGTGAAAGTGTTTGCATCGATTCTTGACCTGATTCATTCCAGTATTGTAAAAAAATATCGAATGTATTTTAGGTAAGTATTTAGCGTGTAACTTTGTTTACATTTACACTCAAATAATCCTACTAGGAATAAGGCTTGCGTATTAACTTCATTCGTAATGGGAAAATAACGTAAGAACCAAATTAAAGTTACGAATTGTTGTTTTTCCAAGTTCAATCACATTACTTTGAACTCTGGGAATAAGCTAGTCTTCTTGTACAATTTGTATTTTAAACATTTGATTATTTAAGCTTTGCTACATCATTTCTTAATACTTCTTTGAAAAGCTTCACAGCCTGGAGCAGTCCCTTTGATCCTCTTGTGCTCCGGCCACGCTAATCGTAAAATAGCGGAGTTCATCACGTGTGATGACGTCACTCCCGTGTTTTCTAATTTTTGCAATTCACGTCAACAACTACCATCACGTTTTCACAAGTCTCTTATTTCCTCTCCTACATCCTAAACATAGCATTCGGCACATCTCACACTTCATTTTAGAAATTACGTAAGCACAGAACGGCCGCTACAGGTAGAAATCTCCAGTAGTCCGCATTGGCGATGGTTGATGTTCGAGTCACAAGAAAAAACCGGTATATCGTACATTTATTTCTGCAAACATCTCTCGAGTGTTTTGCGATTGCACACGCTTGCGACCTCCCGTATGTGAATGTGAGCACCGACCTTCAACCCACATTTGGCCCTCACTTGCGCAAGGAGCCTGCTAGATGCAAACCTGAGTGGGACACGACTCTCGGCTGAGTCAAGTGGCCCGTGGCCCTCTCGGTGATGGCCTTCGTGCTCTGCGACCTGCGATACAACGGTTCGGCCCGGGTTGAGGTCATGCGTGAGGCCGTTTGTGGCTCGGTCAATCACCGTCACAAAGGAAAGTGGTTTTTGTTTCCATGTTTTTCATAATCTCATCTAGTCATGGCGGCCGAGAAAGCACAGAATTAATAATGCAATTGAAGTTTAAAGGTAGTTGATGTGACATTTTCTAAAAAAAAAAAGGAGGGAATAATTGAAAAATATCGTAACTTGTTTCCAGTTAGAGTTAACTGGAGAACATTAAGAGTATTATTTTATTTCAGAAAATTTGACCCACGATTAGTTTCAGACATTTGTTAACGTCCAACTTTCCACAGAAGTCCTGCATCTCTTTCTCCGTCTTGAAGGTTGCTTTCGAATTTTAAGTAGAGCGAATGTGTTTCAATTGACAATCTCGCACGACAAATTTACTACCCCTCGGAGGTGAATGTTCACAAGTAACTACTTACTCTTTTATTGCAGTGACCTAAACAAGAAGGCAATTATAAACAAAGGAAACTACAAAAAAAGGTAAACAGGCGTCAATAGCATCCCTCTTGCGTCCTAGTAGGAATCGATTCATTTCAGCTGATTCATACCACATGGTAGAATATAGTAAATGTGTTTCTGGTCTGTACATCAGCGTATACTATTACCCCAATTTACATTTCTCCTAATGAACTTTAGAGTGTAATTTTCGCTTACAATTTAGAAGAAAATCGACAAAACTAAAGTAAATAATATGGTTACTTAACCTTACGTAAAACACTGCATTTATTTGATAAATGGAGGACTCTGTGCTTTTCAGAAGAACCTATTTTTTCTCACGATTTGTTTCTTCAAGGATAATAGAAATACAATGCGATTGTTGACGGTTTAATGATAGAGTTATAATTTTCCTGATAATATAATTAGTATGCATGTATTATAATCAATTTATAACTTTAAATATTTTTATTTCTTCAATTTCACTAGAGAATTTCTCATCGTGGAAATTGAGAAATTAAATTCTGTCAATATCAAGAGTATCCCATTCCTACCTTGTGTTCGAGATAATAGGTAACATTTATGCTTCAAAAAGTAGGCCGTTATCTTAGAATTTTTTCGAAAGCAATTTTCAAAAATATAGAGATTTAAGATAGGTAAGTGCAAACTCCAAAAACCAGATCCAAAATCAGGTCGGCTTCAAGTATACGGGTTGATTGGATTGTAGTGACTGCCCCATGCAGCCTATCTCTGCTGCTCTACTGCTCAAACCCTCAAGCACGAACACCGGTGAATCCTGAACACACTGCATGTGGATAACATATTTTATGCTAGCATTTCTCGAAATACAAACTGGGATCATTTCCTAGCCTTCACCATTACTAAACACCGGTATATCGACCCCGTCAAACACCCCCTCTTCAAATACTATGAACGAAGATTCCCCCTCCCTCCCACCACTACACACCACCAGCCTCCCCCGTACGTGACTAAGTACGCCAGAAAATGCATCGGCGGCGAGTGCCGTGTGGGAGCGTGGAACGGGATAAGGCACGCGGCCAGGGCGCCAAAGCGGTACTTACGGGCGTAGCAGCACTCGACGCCGTGCTTCTGTTGCTCGGGGCAGAGGCCCTTGGTGGACGTGAGCTGGCCCTTGGGGCAGTCGCGCGCGTAGCGGCAAATGCCGCCCTGGTGCACGCACCGGCTCTCGTACGGCTCCACCAGCTTGTCGGAGCGCCGGCGGTTGGATGACACGGGCTCCGGGGGCCCGTCGCGGGTGATCCACGTCGCTGCAACAAGCCACCTCGTGAGGAGATCGTTCAAAGCGGCAATCACCCCGACCGGGAAGCGAACCCGAGTCTACATGTTTTGCGCTTTTGATTAGCGATTCCGAGAGGTCAACTAAGGTCAGTAGTATTGTAAGTGTAGTGCATGTGGGATGGTGAGTTGCGGCGCCGACCTACCCGTCGACTTGCGGGGTTTTACCACAAACTTGTATCTCCCCGTAGCAGGCTCCGCTCCACCGGAACAAGCTCTAAGTCCCCAATGGTCTTCCAACATGTGAAGAATATTGTAGTTGATGCGAGTGATAGTGTGAGTAAATAAAGAGTGAGGATAGAAAGATCGCGTGCGGCCGTAGCCTGTTTGTTAGGGTTTCGCTCATGCAATCGCCTGGTGTTGATCGGAGAAATCACGGAAAACTAACGAACAGAGCAGTTGGCCGCTAGAATTCTCCTCCAAACAGCAGCTGGATTCGACCCAGCTATGTAGCTAGTGTCGACAAGCTACAGTCGGGACTTGAACGCTAGGACCTCCTGGTCAGAAGAACTGCAGTGACTTCACTTGATGCCCTAACCTTTTTTGTAAGCTCTCTGTTTACAAGTTGCGGAAGGAGTAGGACCAGAGATGTCACCACATTGTCAGTATCAGACAAAGATAAAATGGAATCTGTAATTTGTTTGTCAATGCAAATAAAATTTCCATCCCTCAGCAAAAATGTCTAAATGTCTAAATGAGCAAAAATATCTAAATGTCAAGTACTTCAAATGCTCAGCCATGCGTGTTGGTTGGTACCTTACTCTTTATTCAGCTATGTATAGAAAATAATACGGTAGATACGATAGGGATCAGGATGAAGCAAGTATGAAATACGAGGCACGAGAGATGGGAGTACTCCAAGAAAACCTCGAGTCACTTTGTCAATCAAAAATTCCAAATACAAAAGAAAATTAAAAATTTACGTAAACGGAAATACTGACTGATGAACGGCAAACCGACGAGTAGTAGTCTCCCTCCAAGAGAAGAAAGTGATCCCAGGCATCACTCCACCACCAGAGTACGATGTGAAAGAAGCAAACAAGACAATTCCGAAAACGAAAGAATAAATATTTTGACGAAACATACGAGATTCCAAATCTCCTCCTTTTTTCGACATGACAACATGATGATCACGTATTCAAATTATCTGTAAGCCAAATTTAGAAGATTGTCATACTAAATACTAGATGTGCTGTAAATACTCCTTTCCTAGCTGATTTAAATACGTTCGTATGTAATCCAGAGAGAGAACTTTCGACCCACAATATGCGATGAGATGATATTGCCAACAGAGATAACTTTGCCAGAAAATATGCAGTGATCTTCTAGTAAAGTTTTGATCGCACTTTATTTAAATCTCTAGCACGGCAGAATATCCCTTTCACTAATCGTCGAACGTATCAGCAATTTTTGTTGTCGATAACATTTGAAGAAATATTCTTCTTACTCATAGTAAGTTTATACTTTATACTACACTTGTACGTCCAATATTGGAATACGGAGCGGCATGTTGGGACCCGTACAGAAAAGGGCAAATCGAAGCGTTAGATAAAATTCAAAA